GTTTGTTACTTATTTTTTTTAAAGTAATGGTGGTCCCATTTGTAATTTTTATGTTTTTTCTTTCTTTTTCTTATTTTTTTTCTTTATCATTTATACACTTTGTTTGTTTTTGGAATGGAGGGACATGAATGGTTGACAAATTGTCCCATTGGTGGGTAATGGGGACTTTGACACTTTTTGCTAGACAATAAATGGTTGAGTTTTTTGTATTATCTCATGCTTTGTTGTTTATATTTTTAAAAGTAAGATAGTCTATCAAACTTGATGTATTAGTCATTTAAACAACACTTACTACTTAATAAGACTCTATTTATTATTTTATCAGGACCATATGCTTTATTACATTTATTTTTAAAAGCAATATAGTTCATGTGATCCCATTTGTGATTTTTTTGTTTTGTTTCTTTTTTTTTTTTTTTTTTTTAAAGCAAGATAGCCCATGATGGCCCCATTTCTGTTATTGTTTTTGTTTATAGAATAGAGGGATATGTAGGCTTGATTAATTGTCCTATTAGTGAATAACTAGGACTTGGGTGAGTAATCTTAAAAGAATATATATATATACACAATATTTATAGAATACAATGAAAGAACACTACAAAAAATTAATGATATTAATAATATGTTTTAATTGTAGTGTTTTAATATATGATTAAATTTTCATAGTATGTTTTGGAATTTAAATTTGGTCTAATGTATTTTTTGTTATTGTGTTTAGCTAACCATGACAACTCGGACAGCATTGAACTCAGTTTATGAGTTAATACAATTGCTTCAACCATTACAAAAAGAAGCTATCAAATCAATTGGCTTTGGAGGTTTATTAGAGCTTAAATGCACGAGATTGCCACGACAACTCTGTGAATGGTTGGTTGGTTGTTTTGATCATACATCTCGGTGTTTATTCGTTCATGGTAAAAGAATAATTATAACACCATTTGATGTAAGCCACATATTAGGACTTCCTTGTGAGGGATCAATTATAAACGTAAATGGAGACCACACTGATATTGAAGAGTTGTCAAACAAGTATGGTGTTAAGAAGTGTGGTTCTATTTCATTGAGGTCTTTAAGGAATGAGTTGTCTAATATGAAAGTAGACGGGGATGATTTTAAGGGAAGATTTGTATTGTACATTCTAGGTTCTCTTTTGTGCCCTACATCGAAGTTGTCAATAAATCGTTGTTTTCTCCATTCCTTGAAAGATATGTCTTCTTTACATAAGTTAAATTGGTCAAAACTCGTCTTAGACTTTTTAGTCGATGGTGTGCGAAAGTACAAGGACAAAAGAGAAGGAAAGGGACAACGAGGAATTCGAGGTTGCTTGTTTTTTCTGATGGTATGTTTCTAAATCATGGTAAACAAATGATTGTCTATTTAGTGCATTCTTGAACTTACTAATCATTGCATAACCATATCATGTAGTTATTCTACATTGAGCATGTGACACCTGCTGTGGATTTTGTTAGTCCATGTGCAAGTAGACAAGCACCTCGTTTAGTATATTAGACAGATGAGGTGATTAAAAAGAGAATCTCCATGTTAGAAAAACTTCAATACCAAAACAACAAGAAGGTAATCTTATGTGTTATGTAATTTAATTTGTATGCGTGTTGTAATTAAAGAATTCGTTTAACATGTTTGTTATTATTTTCTTAATAGGTTGGTTTTATTGTTGAAGATGATGATGTGAGTGTAGAGCCAAACATAGATGCACGGCTAAGTAATGTTGAAAAAGAAGTGAAAGATTTGAGAGGAGACTTGAATAACTTAGTCGCTGGTGTCAGTCAATCAATAGAATCTGCCAAAGAAGAGATTTTGATAGCAATTGCAAAGGTAGCTAATGGGTCATGGGCTATTGAGAAGGAGAAACACTCTCATGATATCGATTGTCAATTGAAAAATGAAGATATCTTGGATGACAAATGGAGTCCCCCACCTTATGCTTTCCAAGATCGTACGTCTCCTATGGATAAACAACTCAAACAAGAAAATGAGGGATTGCCTAAGACTCCATTAGGTGATCAGTTCACATCGTCCGTATCTCCATTTGCCCCATTTTTTAGTGAACATGAGCTACTACCACCAAAGTTACCAAAAGTGATTTTAAAAAGGTCAATTCCGGTAGATGATGGTGCCGAGTCTTCAACAGTTTTGCCTTATCATATGAAGCTTAGGAGGGAAAGCAAACGAAAAAAAAGCAAACATATACTTTCACCCTATGATGTTGAACTTGGCAAGGTAAGATACATTATTATTATTATTATTATTATTATTATTATTATTATTATTATTATTATTACTATTTGTTTTGTTTTGTTGTTAGAATTGAAAGTAGTAATTAATTTATTTGTGTTATGTAGAAATATAATATAACAAGAAAACAACTTGACATGTTGCCTAAATATGCACAAGAGGTAATAAATAATATTTGTACACATAACAATTTTTTTTAAAAATAATTCATTACAAATGAACTTAGTCACCGACTGATTTATGTTATACAGGAAGCTACAATGAAAAATAAACAAGTTGTTGTGTTTCCTGAACAACATTCGATAAAGGTATACTTATGTTTCCTTATAGAAACTCATTTTTAGGAGAATATTCAATTACATACTTTATGAAAATGTTATTAATTATTGGTTAAAAACAGATTTCTGAGTTGTTGAGTATGCCAACTCCCATGAAAGGATTTGATTTACCACCGCTTTCAGTTAAGGATAAATTGATACGAGACTATTTGTTTCATCGTAGTAAATTGGAAAGGTTCTATTTCTTTCAAGAAATATTTTCTTTTATGTTTCATGTATTTATATTGTCACATTGACATGTATCACTTAATTAATATGATAGTGAAATTCTTATTAACTTTGATATTCAACATGGAACGCGCAAAAACATATGGACATTAGATCGTGGTTGTTGGCTTGATGGACAAGTAAGTAGTAAACCATTGCTCAAATGAATTTGTAATGTACAAGATAATTGCATTTATTGATGATTTGTTGTTTCTTAGATAATTACTTTAGTTGCTTTACAATTTACATTAAAGCAAAAGGATCGTATCCCAGATGCGAAATATCCAGTGTGGTATCTACCTACATATTTTTCAGTAATTTACTTATGCATTTTATAATTAAAAGCATTTGACTACGTAGTTTGTGTTATTGATATTTATACTAATTTTTATGAGTTGTAGCAACATATTTTGCAACACAAGGTTCATAAGCCAAACATGCTCAAGTCCTATTTTGGAACAAAACGGTACACGGGAAAAATTGAATCATGTGAAAGGGTATTGATTTGTTATTATCTCACTTTACTTTTGTTTAATATGTTAATGAATATGATAGTGCTGATTATTGATTTAATATAGGTGTACATTCCAATTAATGATGCGGGTGAACATTGGTATATGTGTGGTATACATGCAACAACAAATGGTATATATCCTTGATCCATATATATCCAAAAAAAAAGAAAAAGAACTCGGCTAACTCAAGTGAAAAAAGTGGTATACATCCTTATACAATATTGTTATTTGAATTTTGCATTGCATGTTTTCGTACTAATTAGTTATGTAAATGACATGTTGAAGTATTACATGTCTTATTGGGACTTCCGTACAAGAATGCATATACAAATAAAATTACCGAGTTTCCAATTAGAACACTTGAATGGCTTCCACAACAAAGTAATGGCTATGATTGTGGAATGCACATCATCAAGTATTTTGAATTGGTGCAATTTATTGATTCCGAAGCTTGTTTGCTTCAATTTGACTCGTGGGCTGCTAGACAAAGATTAGCACTGGGCTTAGTTCGAGATGCAAACAATAAAATTGGGTCAAGAGTGATCGAATTGGCTTGCGATATTTAATTGTCATGTATCATTGATGTTGTTACATGTTCATACTTGAATTATGTGAATTTCAACTGAATTTGTTTTGGGGAGGATGTAGAGCAAATGGATTTTAATCGTATGATTTTTGTCGTTTTTTAGTAATTTGGATTTGGATTGTACATGGGCAGGGTTTGAATTAATTATGACTTACCACTTTATTATACTTCAATGACTCCACTTACTATTTCATTATTCTTTACTTACCATTTTATTTAACCATACTTACTAGTTAAAAAGACTCTACTTACAAGTTTATTAGACTTAAATTACAACTCAAATAAGCCTCACTTACTACCACTCAAATAAATTCCACTTACTACTTTATTACTCTTTGCTTACTATTTTATTCAACCATACTTACTACTTAAAAAAACTCTACTTACTAGTTTATTAGACTTAACTTATCACTCAAATAAGCCTCACTTACTACTACTCAAATAAATTCCACTTGCTACTTTATTACTCTTTACTTACTATTTTATTCAATCATACTTACTAGTTAAAAAGACTCTACTTACTAATTTATTAGACTTAACTTACCACTAAAATAATTCTCACTTACTACCACTCAAATAAATTTCACTTACTACTTTATTACTCTTTGCTTACCATGTTATTCAACCATACTTACTACTTAAAAAGACTCTACTTACTAGTTTGTTAGACTTTACTACTCAAATAAGTCTCACTTACTACCACTCAAATAAACTCCACCTACTACTTTATTACTCTTTACTTACCATTTTATTCAATCTTACTTACTAGTTAAAAAGACTCTACTTACTAGTTTATTAGACTTAATTTATCACTCAAATAAGTCTCACTTACTACCACTCAAATAAACTCCACTTACTACTTTATTACTCTTTACTTACCATTTTATTCAATCTTACTTACTAGTTAAAAAGACTCTGCTTACTATCATAGTGGTAAGTATTGTGTTTGAGAATAGTAAAAGTCTTACACTATCATTTGTCTTATAAATATAAAAAGTCACATGCCATATAAATATAAGCCTTACACAAACGAGTAATGTCACACAAAAAATCAAAATATAAGGCTGATTGCTTTGATTGTCTCGAAGATTGTTACAATCACTTTGACAAGTCAATTGTCCGTCCTACGACACGGCCATAAATGCTGTCAGGAGTTTCTGAGCATGTACGTACCTACATAATGTAACTAATAATTAATAAATTCTGAAACATAAATTTTGTGAATAAAAGTTAAATAAAAAATTATTACCACAAAGTTAGGATAGAAATTGGAATCGCAGCCCATTATATTGTAGTCGGTTCTAACAAAAGTAGGGTGCCCATTGGAACCATATCCCATTATATTGTAGTCACTATTAGTAAAAGTAAGGTCGACATTGAAACCACCTTCTTGGTGCAACATGCTTGCCCCTGATACATAAGTATCTTGTGTAGGAAAAGAATCGATATTCTCATTTTCTAGTTTTGGACACTTATTCCTCGTATGACCAGTACCTCTGTAACAAAACACATTACACATAGGATATAAATTTAATTATAATTCAATACACTTACTAGATAAATTAAATTGTTAGATACCTGCAATGACCATATTTTCTTGGCTTTGAAAACTTATCATTTGCAACAGAACGACTTCCCTTCGTCTTTGTAAAGGGAGGATCACCAACACCAAAATGTAAACATGCCCCTTCAACATTGGCTTTTCCTTTTGTTCCATTTCCTTCAACATGTTGGACATACAAATCTTTCATTCGACATGTTAACTTTGTCACTGCATCTCTAGCTTCTTCGTATCCATTGGTTAAGTGCGAAGCATAATAGCACATCTTAGTACATGCACTTGACAATGCACCGAACCGTGTTGTTTGCGTAACCCATTCTGGAAAAGGGGTCTTACCAAGTAAAGTGGAAGACTTGACATTTTTTGTCCACCTTTGTAATATACAGCTAGAGGGAATTTCTTTCAAATGCTCCATTTTCATGATTGATACCATATGGGAACATGGAATTCCACATGATTCAAAATACAAACAAGAACATTTCATGGCATGATCACTTAGCCGATATTGTACATTCCATGTGGATTCTGGATGTGTATACATAGACAAATAGTATACGTGAATATCTTCTATATCAGTTTTTCCTGACATAAATAACACTTGCTCAGATTTTATTTGTTCGCAAAATTTGAAAAATATGGCACGAGTAAATATATCAGCAGCATGTCTTTCAATCCTTTTCATACCTGTAGAAAGAATAGGAGTGGTATTCTCAGTTTCGGATTGTGCCTTAGCTTCGTTATGGCGAAGTCTTGCAAGTGCTCTATCATATGCCCTTACAAATTCAAAGAGCCTTAGGCGCACCTTTAGGAATCGATTCAAAAATGCATTCATACTCTCACAACGTTGCGTGCTTTTTGCACCAGCAAAGAAATGTCCATGGAGGTATGCTTCAGCCCATAGAGTACGCTTGCAATATACATCTGCAATCCACTTGTTATTATGAAGGCCATACTTGTCTACAAGGTTCTTCCACTCTAATTCAAACATTTCTTGTGTACATTGCATTGACATGCATTTTTCAAAGCTATGAAGAAATCCCTCTATGTGGATATTGGAAAGAGCATTCATTTTAAGATGCCATTTACATAATCGATGTCGAGCAGTAGGCATAACTGTTTTGATTGCTCTACACATGGCCTTATCCCCGTCAGTGATTACGGACAAAGGCATCTTGTGATCCATCGCATCAAGAAATTTCTCTAACACCCATATGTATGTCTCTACTGTCTCGGAAGCTAACAGTGCACACCCAAAAACAGTCGTTTGAAAGTGGTTGCTCACACCTTGTAGTATCACAAAAGGTTTGTTGTACGCATTTGTCCGATACGTAGTATCAAACATCAACACATCACCAAAATACAGATAATCTGTTCGAGATCCACCATCAGTCCAAAACAAATTATTTAAAGCAAAGTTGTGTGTTACCTCTCCAAAGGTGATGTTTGTGAGCTTTTATAGGTTTCGTGTGGCACAATCCTAGTAGGACTTCTACTCCTCCATGCAGAGTCCTCCTAGGATTCATACTCCTGAAAGATAATGTTTATCCTTCAACACCTCCCTTACTGCTTAAACCAAGTGAGATGGTTCTTCTATGGCCGGGCTACCACGACCGAATTAAAATGTCCATGCTATGCTAGCAACCTCATGGCCGAGATTCAACTAGCCTGGTCTTTTACTCCGCAGTTTGTACCTCGGTTTCCTTGCCGAGACCGAGCTAAATTAAGAGTGAGGCTTGCTTTCTCTTCATCATGCCTTGGTTCCAAATAGTGCGGCCGAGCTATCCACACCTATGGTAACCGAGATTCCTACGCAAGATTATGACCGAGTTAACTTTGTGCGACGATCGAGCTTACCACGGGACCGGTGTAACTTCAAGATTCCCCTAGGCCGGTCTAACTCTATGGCCCTTTTACTCAGCCCTTCGTATTGCGGCTCGAAACGGCCCATTTACCCAGCTCGGCCCAATTTTCCATATAGAAATTACCCTCACAAGTAGTATGGTTCTTACTGGTTTTTTTAGATTTTTTTTTTGTCATTTTTTTCGTATGCATGTTCAGCGGTATGGTTCATAATTGTATTTTATTTTTAAACTGTGCATTTTTCTTAGTGTCTCTTGTATATATGTGAAAATCTGCACCAGTTTTCAATTTAAGTGTATGGAAATTTTGAGACAAAGAGATAAAGAGAGAGAAGAGAGAAAGGAATAGATAGTGAGAAAATGCCCCCCCCCTCCCTCCCAAAAAAAAAAAAATTCAGGTATGTCCTCTTTAAATGGAGATACCTTTTGAAGCTCATAAGTTGGTCGAACATTTGTTCATTAGTGTAACAAATTCACACAAATTATGGAAAAGAAAAAGGTGATTTATGCTTGTAATGGCAAAGGAAAGGAAAATGCATGTCCAGAGGTATGGTTCTTACTGGTTTTTGTAGAATTTTTTTTTTTAATTTTTATTTTCATATGTTTGTGCATTTTGAATAAGCCATAATTGTATTTTAATTTTTAAGCTGTTTTTTTAGTGTTTCCTGTACATTTCTGGAAATTTCCCTTATATCTATGCACTTTTCAATGCAAGTATATGGAAATTTCGAGATAAAGAGAGAGAAGGGAGAAAGGAATAGATAGTAAGACCACAAGCCCCCCCAAAAAAATCGTGTATGTGTCCTCTTTAAATGGGGATACTTTATGAAGCTTATAAGCTGGCCGAATTTTTGTTCGTTAGTGTAACAAAATCACACAATTTATTATTATTATTATTATTATTATTATTATTATTATTATTATTATTATTATTATTAGGGACAATTTTAATCATGAAAACAATTGAGAAATTTCTCAAAATTGATAATTATAAATTTCTTAGATTTGATAATATTCTTAGTTCATACTAGAAAAAAATTGAGAAATTTCTTAGTTTTGATGATTATAAATTGAGAACATTCTCACTTTTGGAATTAAAGAGCAAAACGCCTTTTTACCTATAAATGTGACTTAATGGTTCAAAAACTTTTTGATAGGACATAAGCTACCACCAAATATATAGATAGGACTTTTTGATAATTAATCCTTATTATTATTATTATTATTATTATTACCACTGTGAGCTTTTTTCTCTGTAAAATAAAAAAGCAAGCACTAAGACACTCCCAGTTCGATCTTCACACAATAAAAGAGCTTAGATTTTTATTTATTTTTATTTTTATTTTATACAATGCACAATGGAATCTCTACGTTTCGAGGCTAAATTTGCAGAAATCATTTTAAATTAGTGGAGATTTTTATCAAGCATGTCCAAAATAACATATTAGATGTCAGAAGTACGCAGATTATACTAGGGCTTCGAATCAAACCCCAAATTGCAACCTTCCAAGTCAAAAAGTTCACCAGATCTGAAATTGTAACCCTATGTACTCGACTACATTATTCTTTTGAATTCTAATTTGAAATTGAGAACATTCTCAGTTTATAATATTCTCAATTTTAATCATGAAAACAATTGAGAAATTTCTCAAAATTGATAATTATAAATTTCTTAGATTTGATAATATTGTTAGTTCATATGAGAAAAAAATTGAGAAATTTCTTAGTTTTGATAATTATAAATTGAGAACATTCTCACTTTTGGAATTAAAGAGCAAAACGCCTTTTTACCTATAAATGTGACTTAATGGTTCAAAAACTTTTTGACAGGACATAAGCTACCACCAAATATATAGATAGGACTTTTTGATAATTAATCCTTATTATTATTATTATTATTATTATTAGTAGTAGTAGTAGTAGTAGTAGTAGTAGTAGTAGTAGTAGCTGTAAAAACTATTGGTAGCCATTGGTAAGAGTATAACGCATTTTTTTGGAAGAAAGGGTTTTTAAATTCTATTTTTAAAAATATAGAAATTTCTTCAACACAAATAGAGGAAAATAACTAAAATGAAAAAAAAACTAAAACAAAAGTAAAAGGAAGAAAATAAAATTACGACAACGAAAACAAAGAAAAGGGGATATAAAAATAGAAAATTGTACTTTTTTTTAATAAAAATGGTACTTGATAATATTTGCATTTTAGGTATCCAATGAGATAATATTCACATTTTAGGGACCCAATGGTTATGTTATATCAAGAGCTATATTAGCTCAACGTGCATGGCGAGAACGTGAAAGAAATGAAAAAGCATACTCTGCATATCAATCGGGACAACACTTGCGACAAGAACGAGAGAGATTAGGAGCATACTCTACATACTTTCCTTCGTTAACACCGAGTCGTCGCAGTCACGCTTGCTTAGAACAGGGTACAAAGACAATTGAGGATACTTTGTTGGCACAAAAACGAACAATGGTTACACATGCATCCATATGTTCATTCTCTATGGAAAGACCATCTTTTACTCCACAAAAGAATTGGTAAAACATGTTTAATTCTTTAAATAATATTCTTACTTTTACATGTGTATAAATTTTAATTTATGCACAACAAATATTTGTAGGCCTACTTCTATAGTCCCATTCCTTCAAGAGGATCTATGTACAGATAATGAATTAGAAGGTATGACTATAAGTACTGCGATTAATACTCGAGCACACATGAATTCATGTCGGCATTCTCTCTGCAAGATAGATGTATTATGTCCTTACTGTTCAGCCTTACATTAGATGGATGAAAAATTGGCACAATCATCTTCGCGTCCCATATTCGGAACTTGTTATTCAAAAGGAAAGACTAGGCTACCTTTGTTTATGACACCCCCTTCACCGCTTCAACATTATATAATGGGGATGATGATCAAGCAAGATCATTTTGATGTTATACTCAAGTGTACAATGCAACCAATGCTTTTATAAGTCTTGGTGCTACATTGAATCCAAGAGTACTAAAGGGAAGCAGCCCTACATCATTTACTATCCATGGGAAATTGCAACATTGAACAGGATCACTACTACCATAACCAAGGCAGGATGCAGCTTATGCTCTGTTGTACATTTATGATTCTGAATCAGCTTTAGAAGTTCGAAATCGTAAAAATCCTCACTTACGAAGGGATATTCTCAAAACTATTCAAGATAGTTTGTTGCAAGTTAATGCATTTGTAGAAAACTTTCGACAAGCTCATGCGATTTTGAATCAATTAGCCTTGACTGGACAAAATCTATTTGCTCATCTTCACTGCAATTCAGCAACATACCAACGATGGTATAACCTACCAACTGCAAATGAGATTGCAATTGTAATACCGAGTGATGGAACCGAGATTACTGGAATAAGAGATGTTGTTTTATATCTACAGGGAAATAATGAACTGATGCAAATTAATGAATGTCACCCAGCGTGTTTTCCATTGCATTATGTTTTATTATTCCCGTATGGTGAGCTCGAATGGGAACATGAGTTGAAACTGTGGGACGTTAAACAGTTTTAGGCCTCTAAGCATGTTTTGCTTGTCAAGTTGTCATGATTACATGTGGTAGTGTTTTCTAACATGTAATTTTAGTGTATATAGCTCTGTCAAATGCTCATTTGTTTCGCTCTTTCATTGCTTTTTAGAGTTGCACTAGAGTCTTGTTTGCAAGCTAACATGTGAGCATGGTTTTCTAGCTTTTTTAACCTCAAACTCAGCAAGGTTTAGCCATTGTTTTGGCATGTTTTAACTCTGTTTTGAGGTGGCTTGATCATATGAGACTTACTTTGTATGCTTGTAGTGCAATTGTGCTTGAGAGCCTAGTTTGTGCTATGTGTTAGCCTTTCATTCTAGCTATTTTTTTTGGCTTGCTTCAAGCATGTTTTAGGACTTCTTTTAGGTTGTCTCAGGACTGTCTTGAAGTGTTTGCATCTTTTGAGCTTTGCATTGCATGGCTATAAAGTAATGGGCTTCACTAGTTTCATGATGTAAGGCCTTGGATATTACTTGCATATGTAGGTTGCATGATTTAGTGTCATTTTGCATGTCATTTCAGCACTGAAACATCTGCAACCTCCCTCTATTCTTCACTC